CAGCGGCGTAACCAGGATTTTTAGTACAATGGGCAAACTTCTATTGTAGCGGAAAAAAACGATAGGCAAAATGAGCAAGATTTTTGTCGATGGGCCAAAAGATTTTTGGTCCAAAAAGAACAAAAAAAAATGAAATGAGATTCTTTTAATTTTTGAATTAGATTCTATTTCAAAAATAAACAAACAATTCTGTCTATAGGCACTCTTACAAATATCTTTCTAAGGGTTATACAAAACGAAACCGCCTGGGTATATCTGCTAAGTAAAATTTCAATGGGCAAATCCCCAAATGAAATGGGCTTTGCCCCCCCCCCCTTGGATATGCCGCTGGCAAGAACAATGTAGTTCTACAAATTTGATATGGAAGGATGATATAAGAGATACAATGTGAGAAATCTTACTGTTGGCTATTGTAGTTACATTGGTACCGCTGTTGCTAGGCAATGAACATTTGCCACTGGGTCATCACCAGCAACCATCAATAGCCTACATATCAAAAGCGGATTACAGCATGCTAATATCAGATTATTGTGACTCAGTCGATGATGACGGTATATAACTCTGATAAACTTTACACAGTTTAAAATATGCGTTTTTTCTTAACATAGACTTTCAAGTTATCATTTATTTAAATCATACAGAAAAACACGTTTTTATTTAAGCATATGACTCACTATTCTAATTCTATATTTTTACAATGATCACTGAGCCAAAAGATAAACGTCATATACCGAGAGATACAATATTCTTGCATCTGTTACGCCAACTCTTTTCATTTCTGTTGTTTCTTCCTGTTATTGCAAACCATGAATATCGTTAACAAATAAGTTTTATAACCTGTGTTTTGCTCGTTCTTTTTACAAATATTATTACAACACAATTTTTCTAACATCGTTTATTTTATTACGTCATATTTATGTTCGTTTTTTTCGTTCTTTTTTGCTTCTAGAAAGTGAGTACGTGAATATCTTGTGTAGTCGCCTTTTTTGCTGTTAAAAAATAACGATATATTTGGCTTTAAATACGTATAAAGTAGTACTGATAAACAGGATGAATCATTCGAAAATGATAATAATTACAGACAATAAACAAATAATTGATCAATGCCAACGTTCTCAAGACACCCAACTATTCGAAATGGATAACAATATGATGGAACTAGCGTTTCTCACTGAGCTGAACGATAAAACAGTAAAATACATTCACACAACAATATCTGTGTGATTTTATCCTCACTGGTTTGTATTTTAGCATGAAACGGATGATAATCACATTTATCGACGCCTGTTACGTTTACCAAATGAACAACCATCAGAGGCACAAACAAGAAAAAAAGGGCTCGTGTGCGCTATTTGTGGAGGTCGAGCTATTGGTTACAATTATGATGCAATCAGTTGCGCATCGTGCAAAGCATTTTTCAGTAGAAATGCACAAAATTCAATCGTATGTATTCATTCATGAGGAAAGATTTCAGGTGATAAATCGCTTTTTTTGCCCCAAATATAACTGATAGCTGCTTTTCTCCTAAGCCTTATCTAGACAAGTACAGAAACCCAATATCTCTGGAGACCCAAACTTTTTCCATAAAAACTAATGTCTGAACGCACCAGTTTGTCGACGACATCGAACTACCTATGTCCACAAATTTTTTCGACTTTCGGACGCGTTTTGAAGAGGCTACACATTCTTTTTAATTTCACAAGGAGAGGAAACCACAGGTCACAAATATTTTGAAACCTTCAAGGGATGGTAAAGAAAAGATGAAAAATTATGAGATTTGAAATTTCTGATAGAAAAAGCACTCGAGGATGTTATGATCAAAACGCAATTTATCGTTTTTACTACAAGTTCAATAAAATTACATTGCCCAGGTCCATGATTACGATCTTCCTATACTATAGTATTTCGTCATATTTTGACGTAAATCCGGGCAACGTATTATGTCAGCAGTTACGACCGTCATATCTGAAAGCAAATGACGTCGTTTATGATGGACGTAGTACGTTGGCCGGGTTTACGTCAAAATACGACGAAATACTATAGTATACGGTGGTGATTCAGCGTTAGTTATTTGTGTTGTTTCTTCATGATGCGCCACTTTAGTAACTTTTCTCAAGATGTTGATATTTGGATGTTCATGGAAAGAGAACCCTTGGCTGTCATTTTAAATTTGAACTGGTGGCGTTTCGCCAGCTCAGAACGGACACCTCGCTTCCTTGAGCCGGATATTGTTTTTGACATTTTAGATTTTCCCAGTCCTAATCACTATCTTCGGATCAAGTGAACAAGTTAGTCGAATAAGAGCTTCAGTCTAAAAAAGAAATGAAACTCATAAACATTTATTTTACAATACAAATTAATTTTTTATTTAAAATTTATTCTAACGCTTCGAGTTATCACCAGTTGGGTCGGTGACTCGAAACGTTAAAATAAACTCTAAATAAAGATTTAATTTGTGTTGTAAAATAAACGTTATGAATTTAAACAAAGTCCTATCATTATATACTCTTAAAAGAAAAGAAACAGTACGTTATAGGTCAACAGTAACACAAAACGAAATAAAAGAAAAAAGCCAGGAAAGATTTTTGAGGGTGTCAGTGTACAAACTAGTTGTTTATCTATTTATTAGAGATATAATAAATATGGGAAATGTAAGAAAATGTATTTACAATTTCTTATATTTTACATTCTTTCTCAGCTGACCAGAAGAAAATTTTCTTCTGGTCAGCTGAGAAAGAATGTAAAATGTAAGAAATTGTAAATACATTTTCTTACATTTCCCATCTTTATTAGATGTCTAATGATAATGATAATGGACAAAGAAGTGATTAAAACATTATTGCAATGACTGCATGCTTGTTAAGCAAGCGGACGTCTGAAGACTCCTCGAAATGAAAAATTGTGTCGAGCAGAAATTCATTAATTGCTGTCTCCAGAGATCTTGGATCTCTGTACTTATCTATGTAAACCCTATGGGAAAACGTGACTATTATATTTGTAATCGGCACTCTCGATACATATAATCATCTAAGTTACTCGTGTTAAAATTTCAGCTTAATTGAAATGAATTTCTTGTGGATAATCATAGAGGTGCCGTTGAAAGTTTATACAGCAATGGCAAGGCGTATTTCCAAAAATATGCGTTGAGCTGTAATTTTGACAAATTGCGTTTGATTTTGTTTTCACGCAGTATCTTTTATTACAAAGGGACATGTGGCTTCAGTCTGTCGCGCTGTGTATTTGACTAATTATCTGGGCTTCAGTTTTGAGGTAGAAATGCTTACTTGTCGTACGATTGTATACTTTTAGAGTCATTCGCAAAATCTCAAAATATGGTTTTTCCTCTAGTAAAAATTCATCGGCGTCAGAAACTTTCTCGCTGACACTCAGTTCTAAGTTACGCTAGTTAAATAGTCAAAATGCGGTCATTTTTGCCATACAAAAATTTTTCTAGCGTCAGTTATTGACGTGAAATGATTGTTTATTTCTAGGAAAGACTTGTGTGTATCGGTACAGGTAATTGCAATATTACTAATGCTCGACGCCAGTGTAAACGTTGTAGATTAAAAAAATGTTTTACAACGGGTAACTACATAGTATAGCATATCAACATATGTGCATGCATTTTCTATGTACTTAGGCATGCGAAAAGAGTTAATTCATACTACTGAACAAAAACAACGTCGAAAACATCGAATGGACGAATTGAATCAACGAGTCAATAAGTCAGGGTCAGAATCAGAAAAGATCACGGTATATACAGTACATGGGTGTTGTTTATAAATTTTAAACTGCTCCCTTTTAAAGTAGGATATCATGTATATGTCTGTGAAGCCACCTATTAGTTCCTATACGCTAGGCCCAAAAACATCATTTCTGTGCGCTCATCTCACATAGCTGTACGTCTGGAACGCTAACTTAGCGACTTAAGAAATCAGAAGAAAAACTTGAACTATAAGTGATAAATGTTATCTGAAAAATACTTCTCAGAACAGCGACTTTTTAGCACATCAGCAACAACTTTTTTCGCCAAAAATAGTATAAAACATTACAAGCGATTAGACATGCAACGGTTACGGTTCGGTTATTAACCGTTAACCGTAACCGTAAATAACCGTTTTATAACAACTTAGTGTATATCTGATTTTTAGTTCGTTGATATCGGTTTACATTAGAAGTAAGCAGGGATGGCCTTTGTCCTGACGTTATAGTGCATCTACTAATAAATTTATGAAAATTCTAGGGAATAGGTAATCGACTATGAGGAATCCGAAAATGAGTATAAGGGATCTCTAGCACACATTCTATTAGTCAGAAACCTACTTTTGGCTGGATGAAAATGAAAGAGAATAGGTTATCGACTATGAGAAATCCGAAAATGAGTACGAGCGACCTATAGAACGTATTCTATTGCTTAGAAACGTCCTCTCGGATTCCAGGACCTCATAAACACACTATTCAAGGAGAGACAAAAGTAGGTTTCTTACCAATAGAATGCGTGCTAGAGGTCCGTTATACTCATTTTCGGACTCCTCATAGTCCATTACCTATTCCCTAGAATTTTCATAAATTTATTAGTAGATGCACTATAACGTCAGAACCGGTGGCGGTTATTAGAATTAGATAAATCTAACAAATTAGAAAAATCTTTTAAAATCACAAAAATTCCGATACATCAGAAGAGTCAGCAGTCTGGTTGTATAAGTTAGATATTTTTGCTGTTGAGTGCATAAGCTATATGTGACGGCATGGAAACTTTTTATTGATCTTTCTGAGAACGAAAATGTTAGTTTCTAAATTTGTAGGAAAAAAACACAAGGTCTGGAATGCGCATGTGCAGCGAATTAGAGAAAAATGACCATTGTAGAAATCGGCAACGAGAATTCGGGCATGCTGAAGTATTCAATGATTTACTTATCTGCATTCTGGCACCTTCATACGCTCGTATTTTAACAGTTTTAGGCTTTTATAGCTTTACACTTAAACACTTACACAGTTTATAGATTTACACATATTACAGACAGTCGCACACGTAGACACCTAGATAATTTAATATCTTCTAAATTCTACCTTCGATTTTTAATGTCCTTCATTGAATTAGTGTTTTCGGCGCTGTTTTTGAATCTAATTATGTTTGCTTCGTCTGTAATTTGTCGCCAGAATGGTCAAAGACTTTTAGAACGTCACTCGCGGCAGAAGAACAAGTAAACTGTTAAAGTGTCTGCATGTGCGACTGTCTGCGATATGAAAGTCTATAAACTGTATAAGTGTCAGAGCTCTGTATCAACTGCACTAAACATTTTTGGAGCCCATGGACTCGGACTGGGCTAGACTCCAAAAAAAGTAGAGTCCACAGACTGAAAAAACTATTTTTTATGGACTCGGACTAGACTGGACTGGATTCTTTTAGGCCATGAACTGCACTGCACTCAGAATTTTGAGTTCATACAGAGCTCTGTGAATGCATAAGCAAGCCTGAAAATATACATATATACAGACATACATAAATAGATACATCAGTAAGTATTTATCCATGAACATATAAGAATATAAACAAACATAAAAGCCTACTAATGTAGAGCTTTTCCTCACAAAGTACAGATTGAAAACGAATCCGCAGCAGTTCTGAATTCCGGACGAAGCCGAAAAAAAGCAGTTATTTGAAAACCTAGATAGGTTCTACAGTGTTTTCAATACCTATACTGTTTGTTCTACTTTGAATTAGATAATTTTTACGTTTTTTATAGCTATTTTTATACGAAATTGACAGAAAAAGTTCATTTGTCTGCGAGCAAAAACTTCAACTTCTGATACCTTTAAGGAAACATTCACTGCGCATGCATGTGTTCCCGTACTCTGAATATAGACTATGAATTTATAAGGAGAACAATTCTAGACATTATATGTACGTTAGGCAATTTTGCCAAAATAAACAGTTTAAAGTTTATCAGAACAACCCATTAGTTAAACATACTTTATTTTAGGCAATTGAGCCAACAGTCTCATCATTAGAGTATGAAAAACTTGTTGAACTATCTGTCACCGATCGTCTTCAAATACAATCTATTGAAACGGCCTTTCTAATTTCTCATCAGTCGTTGATTACACCACCATTTCCCATATATCCTACACATCTGACTGATAAAATGTCGGGAATATTATCAATAATGGATTGGTACAATTTTTCTGCGTTAAAACTAATCAATTATTTTAAAACTATACCCGAATTTGATCAATTAGACGAAAATGATCGTTTTGTACTTGTTAAACACAATTTAATTCATATATTTATACTTGAAAGCTCAACATTTTTCAATGCTGTCACTGAAACATGTTTAGAATTAACTAACAAAGATGATATTCAGCAATTTGATGAATTTTACACATTTTGTCATAACGATGAAATACGTTTAAATTTTAAACAATTAATGCATACATTAACGGAAATAACAATGGACAATCGAATCATCATTTATTTACTCATCAATGTTATTATATTTTCAACAGGTCTATCACTCAACGAAGAGAGTAATTTACTATTGTCTGATTTATCTCGAGTTCATAATGCACAATGTAAATATACTGATTTGTTATATCGATATTTGATAGAACAGTATGATGATGACACAGCCGTTACAATATTTTCACAGTTAATGGCACAAATATTGAGAATCCAGTTAACGATGAGAAATTATCGATCGTACATACGAGATGAAATTGACGATGTGAATAAGCTCAATCCGTTGGCTCAAACAATTCTTCAGCTCTCTTAAATTCCATCAATTTGCTTTCCAAACATCCTTGTACGAGATCCATAGATGCTACATCATATTTTGATAACTAATAGATAGATCTTGTTAATAAAAGAATGAAGAATTGGACATTCAGACGATTTTATAATTATACAAATTATACAAACGACAACCAGAATGTTTTTAAAAAAATGTAAAAACATACAAATATTCGCTTAGAACTTCACAAAAGAAACATTTACATTCCTAACGGCCTAGCTGCGTTTTCCAAATGGTTTTTCGACTATTGGTTATAACATCATTCGTTAAATACTTAAAGATTTTAATTGATAAGAATTTTAAAAATAGCGATTTTCACAGGCGTGTGTAAGAAAGTGGCTAAAAACTCATAATTTTTTTGTCCATAAAAACAGAGAAATTCGTTAAACGTGTTTAGTTTTCCAAGCTCTATTCAATGCCTTTTTCTGCAGTGTTTTCAATAAATTTCACTGTATCTATAAACAATTTTGTTTGTATGCTCACATTGACAAAGACACTCGGATCTCTCGCTAAACTCTGGATCTTTTTCTCTCAGACTATCATTAAACATTTGAAAGCCTGTCAAACGGTCCAACGATTAATTTCCTTTCTTCATTAACGAGGGACCATCGTCAATTGCCCAACTTCGATTTCAGCTATCTTTTGCCGATAGATACTATACAGTGTCCCAGTGATATCCCTAAACGGATTTCAGTCTATGGTTCTTCTTTCAAAAGTTAAGAATTTTTCTATTTTCTCGACCCAGAGTCTTGCCTGTATATTTTAAAAAATTCATGAGTCCGTCAAAAAGCTTAGTAAAGAGCTAAACTATTTCCAGTAGCATAGTTCGATGTCTTCTTTTAGCACAGAAAACTACTTTGTGAAACCTGAAAATCTCTATAAAACAATAAAATTGACCGTAAACTGCAACTGAAACGGGAACGGGACAGTAACATAATAAAGTAACATAAAAAATAAAAAAAATAAAGTAACACAAAGATCGGAAATAAGAAAGACGGAAGACGAAGTTGACTAAAACATTAATGCACGTGGTATTCGGTGAAGAAATGATTAAAGCAAAGGTGTTTTTCACACCAGCTTCAACTAATGAATGTTGTTTCGCTACACTTGTTAACACTATATGAATTATCTGTCCGTGTGGAACACACTTCTTTAACATTTTTGAAAAATCCTACAACTCAGGACTGGAAAAGCTAGGAGGCTAGAATTTTTTGTGCTAACAGAAGACATCGAACTGTGAGGAAAAGTTTAGCTCTTTACTATGCTTTTTGATGGACTTATAAAATTTTATAAAATATAGGCAAGGCTCTGATCCGGGAAAATAGAAAAATTCTTAACTTTTGAAGAAGAGCCATAGACTGAAATCCATTTAGGGTTATCAATGGGACACTATATAGTACCTATCGGCAAGAGATCGTTCAAATCGGAGTTGGGCAGTTGACGATGATCCCTCGTAAGAATTATTCTCAGATCGATGAATTTAAGAAATTGCAAGATCATTGCAATCACATCTTTGAAGATCTTTCTTATTTTGTAAAATCTTATGTAATTCTCACAAAATCCTAAGCGTCTGCAAGATTCTCATACAGATTTCACAAGAGCATACTGAAACTTGTGATAAGAGATTTTTTGAACTTACG